GAGAGAGAGAGAGAGAGAGAGAGAGAGAGAGAGAGGGGCAATGGGAAGAGAACAGGCAGACACTCTTGCGTTTCAAAACTTGTGGCAGGTGATACTTTTTGCTGGCGTACACTTCGGCAAAATTTGGCTCATTTCTCATCTTGACTGCTCCGCAAGAAGTGGTCTCAACCACCGGTACCTTTCCTGCATGGGAAAATAGGGAAAACTGGCAGTTTTCCCAAGCGCCTGAATTTTTGGAGGTCAGGCCCGACGACGACTACCGTTGATAAATCTGATCGGTGGCCGTCGTTTCGTTTCGGCCGCTGCAAAGGTCGGATGCCTACCCGAGTCCCGCTATTTTCCAAGCGGCAAAGGTACTGCTGGTTTAAAGCGTAACAAATTCCTTGCGGCAATTCAAAACCTTGTCATTTCCAAGCGGGCCATTATCACCGTCGAAGAGCCGAACGTTCCACCGAAGTTTCGGCGCAACGTCTTTGATCATCAGCAGAATCTCAAGCTTATCCCGAATGATAATATATCCTTCAGGTCTCACAAGCCTGTCCATTTCCATTAGAATAGTCAACGCACTGCAGCTGCCATGGATTTGCACCACATCCACAAAAGAAAAAAAAGCAATTTGAGCAGAAAGAGGACCAGATTAGTCCACTCGACAAATTAATGAAACCTCAGGTTCAAAACTACCATCTTCCATCGAAGACAATGGACCCTCATCATGTACCGAACCGGAAAGATAGCTAGAATACATTCATGAATAGGGTGTGCTCTGTGTTTGGGGGAAGAGCCTATACAATCCTATACAGAGCAGGAAATTGAAATCCGAAATTCAATATTTTATTATTTTTAAAAAAATGGCCCACACTGATTTTGTTACCTTTGCTTTGTGGATAGCGAAAAAGGAAAAACAATAAAAATTATCCCCTGATCTGAGATCAATTTTGCATTTGAATGAAATTGCTATCGGTTGTAAGAATAATAAAAAAAGGTGAAAATAAAGTGCCTTCCCCCATCATTGTGGTTCTCTGAACCCAGCTTCCCACTTTCAAAAAAAAAAAAAAAAAAAAAAAAAAAAATCAAAATCAAAAGTGAAAACAAACAAAGTTTGTCCTCATGTCGAACCTTGCTTTTCAGCCTTTTCTGTACCTTGGTACACTGTCAGCTCCCTCTGACATCTTAAGGTGTTCTCATGTTGATCCTTTCTCATGTCGATCCTTGCTCATGTTGAACTTTTCTCATGTCAAACCCATCGTCTTCCACTTCAATACACCCATGGATTTTGTAAAAAAAAAAGGTTCTCAGCCTTCATGACAGCTTACGGAGTTCGATATCAGCACAAATTTTCTGTTTCAGCTTTGCTTTTCTACCTTTCGGCCTACGCTCCACTGGGGAGTTCCTATATATATCGTCACAAATAGAACTGCCCGGTAATATATATATCGTCACAAACATATATATATATATATATATCGTCACAAACAGAACTGCCCGGTAAACCGTAGGCAGAGAGAGAGAAGAGGACAACAAACGAGGGGCTGTGACAAACTGTTTCGTCGGAGTTTCACCGATACAGGGTCACCAGCCCGTACGTACGGAGGTTCCCGAGCAGACCTTCGTACGTACGGGTGTTCGGGGTCCCGTACGGGGTCTGTACCCTACGGCGTTCGGGCCCCGCCAAAAATTATTTCGGGGCCTAAAAATATTTTTTTTTTTCTGAATTGTTTTCTGTGAGTTCTCTATGACGTGAGGTACAAGCCTATAAGTTTTCAAGTCATTTGGCTCAGCCAAATAAGAATTAAAAATCGCCAAAGAAGGCGGTGTCAAAACGTGCTCGCCCACATTTTTTTTCACTTTTTACTTTTTGTTTCCTCTTGAATTCGGGGTCTAAACAATTTTATTATTTTTTGAAACGTTTTGTGGGTTTTGCATTATGTGAAGTACACATCTGTAAATTTTCAAGGCATTTAGGTATGCCAAAAAAAAAAGAAAAATCGCCAAAGATGGCGGTGTCGAAAACGTGTTCGCGCACTCACTACATTTAATTCTTTTTTTATTTGTTTTTATTTCTATTATTAGTATTGGTTTTTCGTATTTTATTTTTATTTCAAATTTGGTAAGGAATTTGGATGTAATGCTCAGGCAAATCTTGTTTAATTTATTCTGCTTCATAACATATATTTTTTTCAGATTTTTTATTTTATTTATTTATTTATTTATTTATTTTTATTTTTTTGGGTCCGCGTTCGGCCCGAACGGCCGAACGCATCCCCAAGGGCTCCCATACGTTCGGGCGTTCGGCCCGTCCCGAATGCCGGTTACCCTGTGTGTGTATATATATATCGTCATATATATATAGATATATATATATATATATCGTCAAACATAGCTTCCTGGTCAACCGTAGGCAGAGAGGGAGAAGAGGACAATAAACGAGGGCTGTGACAAACTGTTTTGTGGGAGTCTATGTATCCAGGGTTACCTGAGCGAACGTTCGGGGGCCAAACACCTCTAGGTTCGGCCCCCGCCAAAAAAGTTTTCGGGGCCTAAAAATACGTTTTTTTTTCTGAATTGTTTTTTGTGAGTTCTCTATGATGTAACCTACACACTTATAAATTTTGAAGCCATTCTGCTAAGCCAAAAAAACATTAAAAATCGTCAAAGATGGGGGTGTCAAAACGTGCTCGCCCACTCACTATTTTGTTTTTTTTCATTTTTAACTTTTTGTTTTCACTTTATTTCGGGGCCTAAAAAAAATTATTATTTTTTGAAAAACTTTTCATGAGTTATTGATTATGTAAACTACATATCTGTAAATTTTCAGGGCATTTATCAATGCAAAAAAATAATTACAAATCGGCAAAGATGGCGGTGTCGAAAAGGTGCTGGCACACTCAGTTGCCTTGACTGGTGCCCCTCTTATGATTCACAAATGGATTGCTTTATTTTTCTCTGTTTTTTTATGTTTAACCTCCAATCCTTACTGGGATGGGTCAACCTATGGTGGACCGGTTGTCATGCCAGTGGCATTGCCGGGTAGCTACGTTGGTATGGGAGACCGCTGAAAGCATATAAGCGGGAAACCCCTCTTGAAAAAAGTTATCATACAAAGTGAAAGACCATCACTTGAATAGGCGAGAAGTAAAAGCACMGTGAGGTGTGAAGCTTACTCGTACTAATAACGATTCCGACTATCGGGGATAATGGGGATAAATACAAATAACGGATTATGGATTTAGTGAAATATTTAACATTTTCAATTATTTTTTTTTCTTTTAGGTATTTGGGGAATCTTTTTAAATAGAAAGAATATCCTTCTTATGTTAATGTCAATTGAGTTAATGTTACTTGCTGTCAATTTGAACTTTGTGATAGGCATTATCGGCCAATTCCTGACGCAATTAAGATACGTGATCTTATATCGACCTTTCTAAGTACGCTCGGAGCTAAACAAAGAAATTAAGATATCACATATTGATTCCGGATTCTTCTTCCTAGGTACCCAAATATCGCGTGGTAAAAGCAGAAGGTACGAAAGAAGGAAAAGATTGGTGAAATACTACATGGGGGCAGATCACCTATCGTATTGGGGACAGACAGAAGGTACGACATCTCGAAGGTACGACATCTCGAAGGTACGACATATCGTATTGGGGACAGACAGAAGGTACGACATCTCGAAGCGCTACAACCTATAGGTGATACCGGCGAGATCCAGTCGAATGATTTTTTTACTGGAAGTCAAAGGACCCGTAGTACCTTCCTAACTCGAAAGAGACCTGGTAACAGGAAAGCACTGGCTACTTCGCCAGTAGGGAAGGGGTCTAGGTATCTGCTTAGCCTAAGCAGGTTTTACTCTACACAACCTGAAGGAACAACTCCCTTGGATCCCGGAGTGGTAAAAACATGAAAAATTCTCTTTTGTTTAAATCGGAGAACTTATGAATGAAATACGGCTTGAAATTTCCAAACACAACACGATTATAGAGCCATAAGGAATAAGTTGCTCCTAAAATCATTCCAATGGCTGCTAATGTTGCCATGTTGGGCACAACTTGAAAAGCGCCTACTAAAATCAAAAACTCACCAATAAAGCTACTAGTGCCTCTTCGATCAAACTATGGCGAGCCTGCTGATTGACCAATGAATTTGGAACTTCCAACTCTAAGGCGTTTCCAGCATATAGCGAAGTGATTGAACTCTCATGTTGCCATGAGAGGGACCCATCTTGAGCCCACACAATAAATCCAAGAACTCTAATAAGACTCAATCATGCAAAACACGGCGGGACGCCCATCTATGTGTTTGATGATTGATTTTCAAGAGTTTCTATGGAATCAACTATCACGATCGTCAATAAAAAAAAAAGATTTGAAATACTTACTTCTTGAAATGAAAACCATTGGACAAAATATACAGGGCTATCACCTTCTCTTGCAAGACTTTCCAACCATGGATTTTGTCAGAAATGTTTGATACTTCTTGGGGTTTTCTGTTTGATACTCTGACTGTGGTTATGTTAGTTGTGGTCACTTTTGTCAGTAAGTGCTTGAAAAAATAGAAAAAAGTATCATTGTAGTGATTAATCTTTCTCTAGCTAGCGAGCCTACGACCTTTGCTTTTTTTCGAGTATATTAGATTGCTTAACTATCGACCATAATGATGATCGATTGTCCACGAAAGAGTAGTAATTCAGGATTCTGAGTATTCTCTGATTGTAGAATCTTAATATGTCAGCATGATCCATGGGGACTATTCCACGTTTTGCTGTGGGTATAAAGTCTCCTTTTGCAGTTTTAGAAAGCGAAATTCGTCACAAACAGTTTCGCGAAAACAAGCCTCTAGCGAGGGCATTAGCCGCAATGGCTCAAAACAAAGTCAAAAAACTTTTAGCTAATAGTTCTATTTCCAAAAAGATTTGTCCGTCCGCTTCCGGTTCCTATCGAAGCATAGAGATCTGTGAAAAAGTTGGTATGTATAGCCACTTTAGTAGTACTGGTTTCTGGATTCGAACCTTCGGCCTTACGTGGTTTACAATTAGGAGGTCTTATTATAACCAAGATTAGCGATGTAACTCCAACGCCACATAACGGATGTCGTCCTCCTAAGAAACGCCGCGTATAATATAATATCATCGTTTCTGAGGATTGGCAGAGGCACGAACGAAGGAAGTGTTGGCGAGCCTCTGCCGCATTGATTTTGACAAAATTGGCGATTTGGGTAATCAACGATAAATGGTCTTTGTTTTGATACAAACAAAAAGAAGATGGCTATGTTAGGTGCAAAATTAATTGGAGAGGGTTGTGCAACAATCGCATTAGCTGGAGACGATGTAGGTATTGGAAACGTGTTTAGTTCCAATGAAAACATAGTAATAGACATTGTAATAGCTAAATTAGGATTCGTCAACGCTAACGCGGCTAAATCCGCTATATATTTTAAACGATTTTGGCATAAAGCTAAAACTATTCCAAATACATTGATGTGACAAGTCATTTTGTGGTCACCTTTGGTCTTTTATTATCTCTTTTTATTGGGCTTACTATAGTGGGATTTCAAACTCATGGACTTCATTTTTTGA